ACGAGATCTTGTCCCATCCCATCACCTTGCAGCAATCTCAATCTTTTCAAAAACAAAAAAGTTTCTCAATGCTGATTTCATGAACATAGTCAAGACAGTATTTTCATTAAACACACAAATAGCCCAATTTGTTCCTTCAAAGTCTGAAATCTGCCCCTAACCGCATGCTTTACTGACAGAAGATCGATTGTCTTTCTTAAAAAACCCAAAGCTGATCATTGACAATTAGAAATGACTCTTTCTTGATTAGACTCAAATTTGGGTCATTGTAGAGGCCTAGTACCTGTTCTATTGCGCATCGTTCAAAGGATCATGTAGTGAACATGACTGGCTCTGCTGTGTGTGATACCAGCTTCCATCAATAATGCACGACGAGGAAACTGAGATAAGACAGGTCTCCGTCTGGACATGACATTTAACCACAGTGACGTCTGACACAGGAGGGTTACACAGCACTACTCCTCTTCCTCACCGTTAACCAGCCTGGACCAATGCGCTTACAAAATGGGCTTCTACAAGCATGGCAATATAGATTTTATTGTTGATTTTGTGAAGCTTTCTCAAAGATTATACAAAAATGCTTCCAATGATGGAGCATTAGCTGTTGACTTCTTGATGAACAAACCCCAAGCTGATTATTGACAATTTAAATTTTTCGATTAGAATAAAATTGGATTAATCACTGATGCATAGTCTAGAATGTAATGATGGAAAAAACCCAGATGGAGGGTAGGGCAAATATTCCTAAAACAGTCAAATAAACAAAAAAGTATTTATTTTTAAGTTGAGCCTCATCATTCTGTAGTGACACGGTCCATCATGCTATTATCAAAGCACACTAGTAAAACATATTATTATTTTCTTATAAACATTGTATCTTTTTGCTCCCTGCTCCCAGCTCAATAGCTCAAATTAACAGCAGACCAATCTAAGTCTGTGAGAGCAAGACACAACTTTTGTTAAGTGACTCTCCAGGCACAAAAATATTAATTTCATTCATTGACTGACAGTCACATTTGTTATCATAATGTTGTAAGTGTTTTGCTTTGCATGATAGTAGACAAGATAAGCAGAGAAAGAGACACGCACAACTAACTCTAACTTAACATAATGCCAAGACAAGATGCCCTTTATACAGTAGACGCACCAGATATTATCATCCAGCAGGACCAGCTCTGACAACATCTGCATTTTGAACCTTTACCAGTAGACTGGATTGTCTACAAAAGCTAGGACATCAAATAAACACAAATAATTCTTGCCTTTGTTTCACATATAATGAAACTCTAACAGCCATATCTACAGCTTTATTGTCTACTTTATCTAGTTCTATTGATGGTTCAGATGCTATCCTCAGGCTCCAGCCCAAATCATCTCAAAACACAACAGTAACAAAGACCTGTCCCGTCTCAGGAGGGAGGAGCTCAAAGACTGGCATTTCTTTCATCCCTTGCCCCCCTTTTCAGACATCGACTTCAGTGTACAGCTTAACCCCATGGGCCCATATCTGACCCTTTCATTCAGGTTTAAAGGCTTCTGTTGGCACACTGGAAAAACAAATCAAAGTCATTATGTTGCATCATATTTGAGTGACTCGCAGCAGTGATTGTTGTCAGCTGAAGCACTGCAATAAAAAACATTTCACACTCAATTTTGATACCATGATAACATTATATTTCATACAATATAAGGTGATTTTCAACTCAAAATAATTTATTATAGTATTGTGTTATCAGTTAGTTTTATTGGTTCAAGACATTCAACTTTTCAAGGTTAAATGTCCTTAAATGTCCCTCACAGGCCAGTGTTTTGGCTTGACAGACTTGCTGAGTACATAAAGCAGAATATTTTGTTCTTTTTTTGCTTTTTAGTACAAATAAATAATTACACAAAATGTGACTCTCATTGGTTTGCGGTAAAAAAGGGATGTGAGTTTGTAGTAAATTCATTTGGGGAAAATAATCAAAATCAGCACTAAATATCAGCCCAAAAATATTAGTTGTTCTGGATTCTAAACAATTTGGAGCAACCATGAAAAAAGATTGTGAGACCTTTGATAAACAAATTGAATCTTGACAATACCAAAAGTATATCATTGTGTCAGTATATAGGCTTATGCAACTAAGATACAACCACTAGGGCTTTTAAAATAATTACATTTGTGTGTGAAACAGACTTGCAGTTCATAAATAGTTCTTAGTAATTTATAGTTTAGTTTTTTTGTAAACATCTTCTCATAGAAATCTTGTGGCTCATTCAGTAGAGCATATAGATTTTTTTCCAATCCCTTGCTTGAAGTTTACATTAGTCACTGAAGAAACACGTCTTTTATTTAATTAAATGTAAGCAAGTCAACCTTAATATTGATCATCTTTCTTATCAAACCATTGCCCCCTATGTGTGATTGATCAGTGAAGACCCTCCCCGTCAGCCATGTTTCTCCCCTCTATCCCCTCATTCTCTGTTTGTACATATGAGTCATCCCAAGTGATTTCAGAGGTCTGAGCTCATGGCAATTTATAACAAATCCCTCACTAGAAAGAGCATTCTCTATGAATATAAAACACTTGTAGCTGCACCATCTAGTGGCCAAAATGATAAAATGCTAGATAAAGCATACATTTTCTCAGCAATTTTAAGTAGGCCTGCCTATAGCTTTGTTTTTGAGCAACAGGAACACTTTATATTTTTGGTATGCCAGTATTGTATATATTATATGTAGCATTTGTTCTAGCCATAGTGGAATTCTTAGTTAGTTAGTAGTAGTAGTAGTAGTAGAAGAAGTATGGTAGTAATAGTATAGTAATAGTAAAACTTCTATTTATATATTTGATTCTTGCTAGACATTTTGAATATCTTCTATCTCTTAATGCAATATAAGTGTGAAACATATTAACAAGACAAATTACAGCCCCTCCACTACTTCTCTGCCATAACTTAATTAAGCAGAGATCAATGTAATCATACTCATAGTGGGTGTCACAGGCAGCCGTCCTCAAAATTAATTAAAACTATTGAATGTGGAGTTCAAAATGAGCTCATAAAACGATATTGATGGCGGTAGTGGTTATCCCTCTCATGATTCAGGCTGTATAAGTGTAGAGTGCTTATTAAAACAATAGACCTGGGGTAATTTAAAGAGTGACCAAGTGCGTGGGACTCTCAGGAAGTCGGGCAATCTAATCAATTAATATTAGCACAGTGGGTATGATGGAGGAGAGGTAGTGTGCACCAGATTGCTGCTTTGAAGTGGTCCCTATCTCAAATTAACATCACTGAGTTACAGTTGTGCAGGAAATTGCTGGGTTTGAGATGGCAGGACATGACAACCTTCTAGTCTTTTTCAGTTGAGATGGGAACAGGTAAAACACAATAGTTCATATGATTTATTTAGAATGTTTATTTTTATACCAATTTTTCAAACATTCATAAACTAAATATGATTCCTTTAAATTTCTGTTGACTCTATAAAATATAACCAATACACAAATATCATCTCTCTAACAATCAATCTTTCTCTAACATCTGAGAAAGATTCAAAGTCTATACTATAGATATGGAAATGGCCAATAAGTTTGTTTGTACAGGTACCAAGAAGAAAAAAAAAACATTTTTATGAACAAAAAAATCATATCACTTTTACAATTTTGACACATTTTGAGACATGTTTCTTTTACAAGCAGAAGGGCTGCGCAATTAAAATTTTAATCAAGATAAAGATTCTGTCATTTCTAATTGTCAGTCAGTGATACACTTGGCCTTTTTAATCAAGAAATCCACAGCCAATCTCCTGTCTGTAAAAGCTTGTGGTTTGGAGCTGATTTCAGAATTGGAGAAAAGAAATTTGACTATTTTTTTTAGCAATGATTAAAAGTCAGCCCTGATTGTTTATGTTCAGGAAATGAATATCGATAGACATTTTTATTTGTGTTTAATCAGACAAAATAGGATGGATTTTTTTGTCACATTGCTGAGTCCTGTGCAGGCATTTTAATTTTAACAACATTATCTGTCTGCATTGCATAGTTGTAGCAGCAGAGCACAACACAACCATAGTCCAGAGTCCGGCCCATTCTGCCCTCATTAAGTCAGCTGTTGAGTTTCTTGTTGACAGGCCACAACACCAGTCAATACACCAGAACAGTCAGTATCGATCCTTGTGTGGTTAATGCTATGCCACTCCTTTGTGTGGACTGAGAAGGAGGAGGAGGACACTTGGTTTTTAAGGAGATGTGGTCCGGTCCTGGAGGAGGATGCATTGGCTGCCCTGTGCTGGGGGAGGCTCAGGTACAGCTGCTGTTTAGGGCCAGATGTATAGAGCAGCCTCATTCTGTCAGGTGCAGAGGACGGAGCGTGTGGCTTTTTCAACTTTGTATCCGAGAAGGTTTTGTTGCAACCTCAATCTGTCATTTGTACAAAGTAGTAAAGTAGTAAAAAGTGTACTGAGATTGCTTCTTTAATAGTCAAAAGACAAAGGGGATTATTGTTAATAATATATTGAGGTGCGTGTGGGGATGGGCCATATTGTATTGAGCGTGACTTAATATATTTTTGATTGGGCGATACAGAATTTAGAAATTGCGATATAATTTGTGCTGTACTGCAGCTACTGCTATCGCCTAGAGCAACTCAAGCATTGACTGTGGAGGCTGCAGATAATTACATTTGTACAGGCCTACAGATAAATTGTATGTAGGTCATATCACCCAGAAAGTGGTTTAGTGCACAAAGGAAATGTTTAGATATATTAGCATATCCCATGTCATTAGATAGTTATAATAAAATCCTATTGGTAATTGTTTGCACTACATTTCCCAGAATCCTTAATCTATTAAAAAAACTAAGCCTGGTGAAGTCCTTAAGGCTGCCTGGATGCTTGTTGCTTTATGTAACATTTTGTCAAATTATTTTACCTCATAGGTGTATGGGCTTAGGGCTTTCATGGTTTTAATTACTTTAATGAGAATAATAAATAAGAGATGCATAGTTTATTATACTAGGTTGAAAATTAGTTTAATAGCTTAATATCTAATGCTGGGACATTTACAGTACAATATTATATAATAATAATTTTTGAAAGTCCTGGAAGCTGTAGAGTTAAATCCAGGGAGAATTTCAAATCCGGCTTTTGGTTACCATGCCAACAAATCCCTGAGACAATAGGTGACTTGTCATTACCAGTCTGAGTGCTTATTTCATGTTCAAGGATGTATTTACCACTCAGGCCTCAAACAAAGTCCACTTATAGAAGTCTGTATCAAACGCTGCTCTTTTGAAGTGAAACTACAAAGCTAAAAGTGGCTTATGTGCTGCCACTCGTGTCATTTCACTGTATTATGATAGATTATATAGAATAGAGATAATCTGGGTTGAATTTTTGCCTTTGTTTCTGTGCAGATGACTGAAGGCAGACTGTGCCAAGTGCAGCTGCTGGACGACAGGAAGCTGGAGCTGCTGGTTCAGGTAAAACACATTGAAATAGTAGACACATGTATAGAGTTTCATATAGCATTTCTTGTATTGATACTTTGCTGTAACATCAGGCTGGGAGTATTCTACATGTACCTCTATGGTGAAATGTTCAGAAGACAATGCATTAACAAACACTGCCAAAAAAGTTTTATGTTTTTAAGTTTTAAAATACAAAATGGATTTAAACAGCACATTTGTAGAAGCATGTGCTGTGCTGTTGGCTAATGCTAGCTAGCTTGTGACTTCTTGAATTTTGTGTGTTGTTGTCTAAGTTTAAGCGCACATATCATTTCTCATCATGTTGTAGTTCCAACTAAGTCAGATATTTCTGGTCAGACTGTGTTAAAATAAAAATCAGATTAAGTCTAAATTGAGTAACTTTGAGTTTCTAGCAGAGTAGTACTTTCAGTTAGCTTCACACTCCTAGGGAATGCTGATGACATGAGCTGTAAAGTATCAGTTAGGTAGTGATGGTAACATTTTGCACCACAACAGACAATATTTTATCATTTTCTAAATCATGACTAAACATTGCCAACATTAAGAATAAAAAAAGGTTATAGCCAAAAACTGTACTGCTGAGTGCCACGAAAAAAAGCCCACATACCTCCTGTACTGCCCATAATAGATTTAATTCAGTCAATCCATAAGAGATAACACACCACTAAATCTACAAAACAGACATAATATATGAAAATATCTGTGTAAAAAATAATATCTTTCATATATTATGCTGTTTTCTGATCTATGTTATAACATTTCCTCATCACAAGCATATCTGGAGTTGAGTTTTGTTTCATTCACATGTTTAACAGAGAAACCCTGCGTATTTGGGCTGAGTTCTTTTCTTAAACTGAAAACACCACATTGTGATGTCACAGCAGTACATGAAGTGCTCCGCTGTGTTTTTAAACGCCATACATCTTTATTAGAATCATCTGGATAATTTCAGCCCTGGAATTACCCATCTCTACTGAACAAAAGTAAAAGGTAGCTGTTAACTTGAAAACTACCTCTTCATGGCATCACAAGGTGGAACAGAGCAGTTTGAACTTGAGAGATGTAGATAGACTAATAATAAAGGGTTACTCAAACATGTGTGAATGAAACAAAACACAACCCCAGGTATGTTTTTGAGGAGGTAACATCCTTTTTGTGTAGTATAGGACATTTAAATGACTGCAGTGACCTAATGCAACATAATGCTGCACTGTGTGGACATGAAAAAAATAATTATGCCATAATAATTATGACTTACAATTATATAGCAATTGTATGTATATGTAATACATTTAAAAAAAAAATTTTCTCTCCAGCCAAAGCTTCTGTCATACGAACTCCTCGATTTGGTCTCCTCTCATTTCAACCTCAAAGAGAAGGAATTCTTTGGTCTGGCATATTCTGATGATCAGTAGGTTTTTGTTTATACTTATGTGAAAATTGTACTTTTTTGATTATCTTTGAGTTTTAAACCTCCTTGCTTCTTACAGTGGCCAGCGCAAATGGTTACAAATGGACCGCAGAGTTCTTGATCATGACTTTGCAAAGAAGACGGTGCCTATTCCCTTAAGTTTCCTGGTGAGGTAAGGAGCTGTTTTGTCATGCAAAGCACACAGTTTCCAGTAGGAGGAGCAGTCATTATTGACATTGACCCACCAAGGGTAAAGTCTGACATAACACTGTAACAAAAACAAAATAAACTCATGAATTTAAATGTGGACTATGTAGCTTTTCCTGTGGGGAGCTAGAATCAGCTACTGTCTCTACGGAGATGTTATTTCTTTGCCTGGGATGTCCCACAGTATAGCATTAATCATTATTTATTAATTTATTTATTTAATAGTGTTTTTAGGAGTGCAAAATACATTGAAGTTCCATAGTGCACCTTTAAATTAGTTCTTATCTCGATATTAAAAGTTTAGTTTAAAGTGATTTACTTTGGAATTTTTTATTTTTTTTTCTGAAAAAACGTTGAGTAACTTACCGTAATTTTCATATCTTAAGTCAAATAGTTACGGCATTCCTTCTTGCAGTGAACAGCCTTGACAGCTGATTAGTAGATTCTTGTTGCTGGGAAACACCTTAACACAATACGCACATTTCTTTTTACCAGGTTTTATGTGGAAAGCATAACCCAACTTAAGGACATCATAACTGTGGAACTGTTCTATCTGAATGCTAAATCTGCTGTGTACAATGTAAGTATTTGGGTTTGTTGATCTGTCTTTAAAACAATAGGAACACTTGTTACGTTGATGTTTCATAGGAGCTCTCTCGTGATTCACTGTCTGTCGACCTCTGCAACAACTCAGCTCTGCAGATTGTGGCTTCAGGCTAGACTTTTTGCATGCTTTTGACTGAAATGTAAAAAATTACAAATGCAGATAATGATTCTGTTTGATAGAAAAAGATTGCTGCAGGGTTAGAGTGAATTCTGCTTTTACAATGTTATAGTTATTTTAAGTTTTTGTTGTGTTTATGTTATGTTTTACAGGGTCTTATTGAAGTGGAAAGTGAGAACGTCTTCAAGCTGGCTGCCAGTGCTCTGCAGGTGACATGTTATGGCCTAGTATACATAAGTAAACACTGCATTAGCATATTTATTTGCTAACAAGAGTCCTTTGTTTACCAGGAGGCCAAAGGAGACTACAGCAGGTAAGGATGGATGATTTTCTTGTTTTAAAATGTGATGATGTCTTACTTCCATATGGGGGGCAAAGGTAATTTTTCCTATTTTCATATAATATGACAATCTACATGTTGAAACTGATCTAATTACTTTTATGTGGACCCAATCGTGATTAAAGTGGAGCTACATAATTCATCAGATGTCTCCATGGTAATCCTATTGTTTTTCCTAGAATGTTCCACAGTGTGGTATTAAATGTATCTATCTCCATTGCGACAAGTAGGTCATGCCACTAGGACAAATTACAGGCTAGATCTGTAGAGAGGCCACCTCACTCAAACAAAACGATTGTTTTCAAGACAGTCCTTAGTAAAAAAAAAAAAAAAAAAGTAATTATATGGTTTAACATTATACTGTGAGACATTCCTGACATCTGCATGGGGCCAAGCTGGTGGTGGAAAGTAACATGCTGCATCTTTAAAGACCTACACCTGAAAACCCATCAATAAATCATAAACGATGTGTTAAACTGTGACTGGACAAGTTCATAGTGAGCTTTTAACCTGCTGTGTGCCTGTACGCAGCAGGTCTCTTGTATATGTGGAGCACTGACAACAAGATCAATAGCAATGTTATGCCAAGCTTTCCACTGTGCACTGAGGAGCTTACATCTGAGGTCTAATGACTACCATAGAGCTGATAGAAACATACTGTAGTAGAGATATGTTAACATCATATATAGTAGAGGAGGGAGAGGAGCCAAGGAATTGATTTTATGCACACAATTTACAAATAGAAATACAGTTATATGAAAATCGCTTAGTAAAATAGAAGTAGGAATTAGAGATGTTATTAAATGTTGTTTTTACCAAACCTCCATTGGCTACTGTCTTTGTGTTCTTGGAAGAAACATGCTGACTGAATTTAGACAAGGCAAATGTGTTAATGTAATTAAAGGTCCTATATTACAAAAAATATTATTGTGAGCTTTTAGCCATGTTATACCCCCCATCACTAATTGTGTTTTGTTTCATTCACACATGCTTGAGTAATCTTTTATTATTATTTTGTCTAAATCTACAAAGCTCAAAATGTTCTGTTCCACCTTGTGATGTCATGTAGCGGTAGTTTTCAAGTTAAACTACTTTTACCTTTTGTTCAGTAGAAATTGGTGGCAATTCCAGGGCTGGGATCATCCACATGATTGCAGTGAAGCTGTATGGAGTTTAAAGACACAGTAGAACACTTGCTGTATTAGCACAAGACATCACAAGGTGTTTCAGTCTAAATATGGAGGGTTTGTGTTTTAAACATATGTGAATGAAAGAAAACACCTCCAGGTATGTTTTATGTTTTATTATTATTTTCTTACTATTGGATACAATTTGTGTATGTAATATTATACAGTAAACTATGCTTGCGGACATGCATCGTGCTTTATGTTGGCTCCTTTTGTATTTTGTAATGTACATTATATTAAAATCTATATTTATCCCCCAGCGATGAAAACACAAGAAGTGAGTTGAAAAAATTGCCTACTCTACCTACCAAAGTACTGAAGGAACACCCATCCCTAGCATACTGGTGAGTTATATTGCGTCTTGCATACCGAGTCATTTGTGAATGTCATATTTTTTTTCCATAATGTAATGATTATGTTATGACTTCGCAGTGAAGATCGAGTTATTGAGCACTATAAACAGCTCAAGGGAGTCTCGAGAGGGCAGGCTATTGTGCAGTAAGTATTGAAATTACACTTGGCTACAGTAACAATATAAAAGGTCTTATAAATCTTTTGGGGTATATATTGTTCCCACACAAATAACAACTCCCCTCTGAAGAACTGTGATCCATAGCTTAACTGACTGCCTAAAAGTTCATATCATTTCACATTCAAAGTAAATCTGATGTACTGTTTTGGTTGTAGGTATTTGACATTGGTTGAATCACTGCCAACATATGGAGTGCACTACTATGAAGTTAAGGTAGGTTTACAAGGATGATTCATATTAAATAATAGCAACTAAGCCTTTCACAAATTTGTTTATAATCACATGCTGTCACAGGATAAGCAGGGGATCCCGTGGTGGCTGGGAATCAGTTATAAAGGCATTGGCCAGTACGATCAGCAGGACAGGCTCAAACCACGAAAGGTAATTCATTTTATTAAATATGTTATATTTAATTTGAAATTATAGATGGTATAGAAGGTTAGGTTTAAATAGTGTCATACAGTAACTTTTGGGCAATTCTCTCAACCCTTCAGGGAGTGGAGTGTCAATTGAAATGTTGTCTTCTGTAATCTCAGTTTATTTTATCATAACTTTTATTCACTTTTGTCTTAAACATAATAATCTTTGAAGTCTATTTTAAGAATTCATAAGGTACATTATCAGAAAATTGGGTACATTTCCTAGTGTCCCACCGTGTTTATATAATTGTTATGACAACGGTGCTACTCACTCAGAATCCATGGATACATAAGTGATGAATAAGTGAATCTTATATAATGCCACATCAAATAGAGAGCCCTGTGTTGGGTTTATAGCAAAGTTTTAGTCAAATCTGGCAACCCAGAGTTAGAAGCTCATTCTGCTTTCTCACTGATAACAACTGTGACTTGAGAACCAAAACACAAAAAGTACATGTAAACAACTTTCATATTATGTTGTATTTTGTAATTGTGAATAAATCTATGTTACAAATGTTATTAGTAAAATCAACGTTTAATTTCAACATGGTCAATTATTCCCAAAGACACCACAATGTTTATAAAATATTAAGGGAAATTTCTTCATCTGCAGTACATCCTGCAAACAGTGGTTTTGTTGCTATTTCTTAACATTTGGGGCTGAGGTTCAGGGTGTATGCAGGGATTTCTTGTTTGTGATGATTCACCAGCTTTAATGCATGCATCATCTGTTTCACTCAGACAAAGGTGAGGCTTCTGTCACAGACGAGGCCAGACTTGATAAAACTGGAATACTTGAGTGTAGGAATCTCTGGAAATATTTTCACATTGAAGTTCTAAGAAAACAATTGCTTCAATTAGTGAACTTGCCAGAACAATTATCAATATACTGGTACACAGTGCAAACCTTAATGTTTTACTTGGACTCTACATTGAGTCTAGACTGTAATAAATAAGTAAGTAGCTGTAATCATTTCAGAACGGTTTTAATGATTTGGTGCTGTATAATCTTAATTAAAAACTTGTTTTAAGAATACTTATTCTGTAGACCTTGTATTTAAAGTAATTTTATCCATATGGTAGATACCTTAGCTTCATACTAGAAATAAATATTGAAAATATTAAGTAGCAAATAACATAATCTAGATCTAACTAGTTATTATATATTGCCCAAATATCTACAACTGCTACTAATACTTCTATAAATACTACTGCTACTGCTGCTACTACTGACTGACAGCTGACTAATACTTTAAAGTTAATTTACTAGGCCCATATTATGCTATTTTCTGATCTATGTTATAATGTTGTTTCTTTGCCCTAAACATACCCGGGGTAGTGTTTTGTTTTATTCACACGTGTTTAACACAAAAACTTTGCATATTTAGGTCCTTATCTCATACAGAAAACTACCTGTTCCACCTTGGGATGTCATGTGGTAATACAGGAAGTACTCCACTGTGTTTTTAAACTCCATACACCTTCACTTGGAAAATTTCAGCCATGGAATTTCCTACTAAACAAAAGGTAAAATGTAGCTATTAATTGGAAAATCACAACGTGGGACAGAACATTTTGAGCTTTGGAGATGTAGGTTACTCTAACAAGTGTGAATGAAACAAAATACAACTCTCTGTTTTTGAGGAGGTAACAGCATTCTAACATGTCTTAAAGAGTTAATCTTTGCATATTATATGGCCTTTAAACCATGTACAAGATACATTTTTACAGTGCTGTGGTGATTTCAGAGTTATTGCATTTGAAATAATGGAACATGAGACAAGGGAAATGCTTGCGTGTCTTTATTGGCCTTAATCCAAGTTGAGCAAGTCAGATCCTGGCATTGCACACTGGTGTGTTTTTGGAGGAGAGAGGAGGGTTTGAGGTGGTGATGTCGCAGTTAGAAAGGGGTGGGGCAGGGGGTGGGGTTAGAGTGTGTTATGAGAATACCTGAGACAAGTCACAAGTTGACAAGAGATTGAACAAACTGTTGTGTTAACACTGTGGGATTTAACCACTTGACTAAACAAGACTTCCAAGCCATCCAAAGCCATACTGGTAAGACTGGATGCTACTCCTATTTATTTTACAATTACATTTGGTGCATATGGTTCTTTTTAGATAGAACTGTTGTTTTGTTGCATATTATATTGTAACATCTAGTGCAAAGTTCATCAAAAGCTTACCATAGACACTTACAATAGAGCATTTCTACATTGTGAGTTCCATGTATGGCCTTTAGCAAACTTTTATAATCATTTTGTGAACATATTTCTTTTAAACGGGGTTGCAGTTTTTTGTATGTGCTATTTACTATGCTATGTATTATTTACATTTTTTAATATTCCTTTTTACATAGGATTGTGGTTGTATTACTCCACCAATAGGCGTATCCATGTGTGTCAGACTAATGAAGATTAGCACAGTTGCCATAGCAATCCACATTTCAAAACACACTATCTGATCTTTTGAAAGGTCAAATATCCCCAAATGTTTATAACATTTAAACTTACAAACAAGAAGCTAAAAAATTATTATGGAATACTTTTAGATTTTTGGATTCATATGTTACCTCTGGGGTACTTTAAAAGTTACAGTGTTTACTAGAGATTGTTGTTTTGCATATTAATTGCTATTTGCATACTATCCAACAGATTTAATCATTAATTACAATACATTTTTTAACATTTTTTTCTTGGTATCTGCTATGCTATGTCAGCTAGGGCTCTTAAAAACTACCTTTGTACAATTTTTTTTCAAAGGATTGTTGATGAAATGCATATTCCCTTCTCCAAACTTATCAAAGCACATTTTTACAATCTTTTCACATGTGTACAAAAGTTTTGCTACCAATCCTCCGGGTGCGTTCGTCACTTCTTGTACAGACACACTCAGGTTCAGTGACTCATGCTTTGCTCATACTTAGTTTGTCAGGCAGCACCTGCGAAATGGAAGAATTTGCAATGAGCCACAGATAGTGTTGTATATGACAGTCAGTGATCATACATATGCCATCCAGCTGTGTATTTCCAGACATGGCATACCCCCAAACAGCACAGACACTAATCACAGTTTTCAATACAGTCTGGTATTTTTAATGACTGTGGTCAAAGAGGCTAGTAAAAACAACTGTGTATTATTTCCACAGCAATGTAGTATGTATGCTATGCTAGCTGCACCATATTTAGTAGTTTTGTCTTAAAAATGTATATATGTACAATAACTTTTCTGGTGGAGCTTGGAATGCTCTACAGTATGACAAGCAAATAACACTGAAAGGCCAAATTACGGGTAGATGTGGAAAGGCAACCCCACTAGCAGGAAAAATGCTTGTTTTTCAAGGCTTTTTTGAGGAATAAAAACACAAATAATACAATTAATGCAAGATGGATTAGTTTAATGCCATACTGTAGAACATTTCAGGCAAAGGAATAATATCTCCATGGAGACAAGCAGGTAGCGGATCCTCCACCAGAAAAATGACATATTGCACAACTAGTTACAGCTAGTAATATATCTGGAATGGATTTGTTGTTTTAACTTTCTTTTGAGAACTTTGATGACAGTGGATTAATGTGGATATGAATTTTAATTAAAGGGTGGAGTTGGTTCATTTCAGTTTAGTCTACTCCCTGTTCAGTTTTGGTGTCAGTATGGGAAACATTTCAACTTTACAAAAATAGTGCTTTTGCAAATTGTTAGCAGTATTGTCATAATATAAAATATGGATTGTTCTGCATATATTTCATAATAACTTGAAACTTAACTTAACATATTTGTAACAGTATAGAAGATATTTTTCCTGTATTTATTGAATAGTAAGTGTTTCATATTTATTAATTGCAGCTGTACCAATGGAAGCAACTTGAGAACCTGTATTTCCGTGAGAAGAAGTTTGCCATAGAAGTGAATGATCCACATAGGTGAATAGATCAACTATTTATATATTACAGATCTGATTACATTTCTTCACTTCCTTGTTCAGTTTAAGTCAGCTAATATTTTGTTCCTCCTCTTCTCTTCTGGTGCAGAAGAGCGGTTACAAAGCGCACTTTTGGACAGACAGGCCTCCTCATCCACACATGGTACGCTAGCCACTCTCTCATCAAAACCATCTGGGTAATGGCCATTAGTCAGCATCAGTTTTACCTGGACAGAAAGCAAACCAAAGTAAGAGCTGGTTGTATTTAGAATATTCACACAATCAAAGTTGTTGCTTGTTTATATTTATTTTAATTCTGCACTTGTAGGCTAAGTTAGGGACAACAAGAAGTTTTGAAGAAATTGCAATGGATCTTACAGAACAAGGAGGAGCAAAAATAACCAAACTTGGAGAAACAGGCATTAAAAATGACTTGATCACTGCCAGCAATGGAAGCTTGGTGTCTACAGGTAATTATAATATTGTGTTTCAAAACTGTAGCCTATTAAACAGTGACACAGCAGTCTTCAGTGATATTCAAATTACGACAAATAAAGTTAAACGTGAAATTATTTGAATAAGGAGGCATTGGTATTCTACTGGCTTAAATGAGTTTTGTTCTCCAACAGAATCAGGAGACTCAGAGATGAGTGAAGAACAGAAAAAGGAGAAGCTGTGTGAGCTAAGAAAAAAAGAGCAGGAGATTCAGGACATTCTGAACAAGAAGACGAAGGAGCTGAAAAAGATCTGTCTGCGAGAGGCGGTAAGAAATCAATCCAGTGGTGCCTTAATGGTTTCATTTCCATCACCCTGGCATTTATTAGAGGACAAGCAGCACTTGGTTTACACTCAAGTCAAATGTTTTGTTTTCAGGAGCTGACAGGCAAACTGCCAAAAGAGTATCCACTGAGCTCTGGAGAAAGACCCCCTCATGTCCGGCGGCGAGTTGGCACAGCATTCAAGTTAGATGACCTTTTCCCCTACAATGAGGTCTGTGTACAGCCCAGTACTGCTCTGCAGGTTCACTGAGAGCAATTTACACATTTATAGCTTATGAAATATGTATGGAGTTTTGTTAATCTGGATTGTGTGAACAGGACCCTATCCTCAGAAACCTCGAGAGCAGGTTTGCCCTGCAGCAGAAGATTGTGGAGGCAGCTAAAAAACTGGCAAATGAACCAGAGATATGTAAAACTGTGAAGAAGAAGCGGAGAAGGAACTGTCTGGATGCTATGCACAAACTGCAGCAGATCGAGGATGAGATGAACCAGTACAGAGTGAAGAAAGGGAAGAAGCCCACGCAGCGCGCCTCTGTCATCATCGCAGGTGCAGTGGATACATTTGTCTAGACTGCATTATTAGAACTATATTTTAATATTATTGACTACTCATTACTTATTTATTATTTTATGTGTGCAGATGCACTTCCCCGCTCAGACTGCGGCTCAATGTCCAGCCTCCCTCAGGACGACGGTTAGTCAAAAAAATCCTGGTGATGTGTCAGATCCAGCGCTCATTGGCGTGTGTGTGTGTGTGGTTGTATATGTGTGCATGTGCGGATGTGTGTATGTGTGTGTGCTAGAGTTTTAACCTCTTTCTGTTTGTGTTCATGTTCAGAGGACTCAGACTCATGTCAGAGGCCACGCTCCTGCTCTGTACAAAGCACCCCTCAGCTCAGCCCCATGAGGTCCCTGGGAGCCGACTATGAAACCGACAGGCAGGGGTCAAACAGGGAGAATCAGCACAGCAAGAATCATAATAGGTACTGTGTTATTTCTGAGCAACTGATCAAAACATTTATTTTCATTTGACTGGTGGTGACATCATGTTTTGGCAGTATTGATATTGTTATTTGCCAGCCATTCAGCAGCCCTGATTCCTGGTTTTTCCTGATTTTATTTTACCCTGTCCCTTATAATTTACCCTTTTAGATTAGCTCCTGAGAGCATGGAGGTGCCTAACTACTACCAGAAACCCAGACAGGTGTCCTCTGCCAACAATAGCCCTTATAAAAGCCTCCCCCGAGCTCCTCGAGATGCATGCAGCATGCCGCCCACCCCCATAATGACCCGCAACGCCTACAGCAGCAGCCAGCTCAGGTGTGAACTTGCTTCTTTTATGTGTCTTTGATTATTTGTTATTTTTGACCTCCTAAATATAATTTGACTATTAACCAACTCATAACTAAACAGATTGATCTTGAAAGTTGCAGTGTTCATTATGTTTGTGCTCCTCAGGTCTGAAGGCTCTCCACATTGCTTTAGGCATCGCAGTGGCAGTCTGGAGTCACAGCCACATCTGAGGAAACATAAAGACTCTGAAAAACCCATCTTTATCTTGTCACCAGCCCATCGCAGTAACAGCTCCGAGCCATTAGAGGACTGCTCCTCCTACACAAGTCAGTCTAGCCTGGAGTTATGTGGGGCCACAAACTCCCACTATAGTACTCTGGACTCTCGAAGCTCCACCATGCATCGCCTACACAGGAAGCTGGATGTGTATGGAAACACAGGGAGCATGCCCAACCTGGTGCCTCACAACTCCAGCAGTTACACATGTGAAACCCCTGCACACTATGCACCCAGTACCTACTATGGTTCAGGCTATTCGGACATGGAGCCTTATGCTAATGGTGCCTATGTGTATGAGAGTGAGGTGGAGGGCCACTACAACCTGCACCCTTCATACCAAATGAATGGGTACAACGGACACGACAGATACAAGCATTACAATGACAGAGCAGACAGCCTGGCTCAGAATCCTTATGCCACTATGAGGCCCCCCCGAAGCAGGGAAGGACCCAGGACTGAGGGGCTAGCTAAAAACATGCAGAAGGCCCTAGTGGCAGAGCACCTGCGTGGCTGGTACCACCGCAGCAGAGTGCCACCTGGAGGAGGCAGAGGGATGCTCATGGGGTATGACTTTGACCCAGGATCACAGCTCAGCTTGGGCTACCAGACTATGCCTGCAGCCATCAGTCATTCCAGCAGAACCACCTCTTTCTCTTCTGGTAGGAAGACAAACACGTAACCTTTTTTTACTCCACATTTTATGATATAAAAATAGTCAACATGATGGATAGATAGATAGATAGATAGATAGATGTGGTGATAGAGATGATAGAGAACGTGGTGACAAAAATGAGACCGCTTATAAATTATTCTGTCAGTTGTAAGAAAGAGCCATTTGAATCACTATGTGATGCTCTGAGACGAGAGCTTCTCTAAAGCTCTACTAGTGGCCCAACTATTCAAGAGTTTGAGAGCAATAGGAGCAAGTTAAACCTATCACATACTTTTTTCTAACCTTTAATAGGTTTCATTTCTTTATCTAAAAACATACACAAAAACAACAGAACACAGATAAACTGTCAGAATACCTATCACATCATTTCACGTTTAGAAAATCAAACACCCCAGCTTTAAGTGTGATGACATATTTGTTATGTCCATTAACAGTCTCCCTAATGTAGTGTTTCCATTCACAACAAATGATATGCCACCATTTACTGCATGTATTTATAGCTTTATACCCTGCCTTGTTTACAGTGTCGTCAGTTGAGAGTGTGGGTAACTGGCGTAACCAGCTGGCAGTGGGCTTGACAGACTGTGACGTGCCCGACTGTCCCCTGTACCTCCATGGAGCATGTGTGTCTCCATACAACCGCAGCCCCTCTCACACCAGGTACGGGCTGGACGTTTAGGATTGTACCAGATAACTTATGAAAAAAAAAATCTATCTGGCCCACAATGGGGAAATTGTAATGTAAGCCATGGGTTCCCAAACATTTCAAGTTGAGACACTCAAAATAAACATGCAACTGACTTGTAACCCCTACAGTCAAATGACATTGACAGTAATAAAGTTGAGAAGCAAAACATGTTTAATCAGGTTGAATATTGTTTTTATGAATAGTTTATTGTGTAAATCGGCCACATTTCCCTCAAAGATACTGTTTTCAATAACAGATTGAACACACTGTCAAAATGTTTCAATTATATCTTGAAATCAGCTCATAAATGGCACCCCCAGTTCAGTTCCCAATGACCCACTTTGGGAACCACTGAAGCAATTACACAACAGAGATAATTTATTTGTAGAGAGAGACTGTGGTGCAGTGGGTTAAGGTTTGGCCCACCAAAGGACTACCGGTTTGACAGTTGTCCCACACATGTAGGCAGGTGACTTCACTCAGATTGTGTTTTATAATATCGTGGTCATGAGTTGATGTACGTATATTCAATAAGTAAAATATATAAAGTAAAAAGACAAAGTATATGTACAAATATGACAATTTTCAAAAAAAATTTTTTTTAAGTATCATAATATCCTCCACAAACAACTAAATATCATGTCATATTCTGTATTAGATCTGTATAAACATGTTATGAAATGTGATGTATTAGTTTGTCAGTTCATATTTCAGCCTTTTTATCAATTCTTTTGGATGTGTTTAAACCTTGAACTTGGAACAGAATCGCATTATTAAAACATAAATAGCAAATCTAATCGCAATTTGAATGCTTGTTAGAAAAATCTCAATTAGATATTTTCCCCAAAACTTTCAGTCTTAGTTCATGGTTTGATGATTACTTCTTTTAACAAATTGTTTATGTTGTTGTCATTAATGGTCTGTGCAGATTTTCCCCAGATTGCAAAGTGTCCAAGTCTGACACAGGGCCAAAAAAATCTCAGTCAGTTGAAGGCAGTAGCTCAGCTGAACCTGGTGACAGCCAGTCTAACACTTAAGGGTGAGAGTGATCAGTGTCAGATATGGTTTACTTTATATTATTTTATTCACCATCTTTAGTCACAGTCATCATCCTCACTGGTCAACCACTTCATGTTTGAGTTACAAATCACACATCCACAGTGGCATCGTGGATAATGCTTATAGATTTTTATGTTGTTTAGTCATATTTTTGTGCATTTTGTGCATGGAAACCTATTGAGGACATTGCAGTTATTTTACATTCATTTTACATTTAGATACATTGCTGCTAATGCAATAAGTGCAATGTTTTAAAACCAATCACAGGGCAGTTCATTATTATGTAGAATGGACATCAAGCTTTACGATTGGTTGATAAGGCATTGCATTTATAAGCATTTGAACAGATGTACAATGAAGGTTACATTGTGTCTTTATTACAACAGTTTTGCATTGTTTTGTACTGTGGAATTTATGCAACTTTTTTGCATAACATGTATTTTGTCAAAATTCACTGTTCCAACATTTCAGTCTAAAATAAGATGTAAAAAATGTCAAACAAAAACAACAATCAAAAACAGTTGCATAAATCGAACCTTTAAAATAATAAAGACCACAAAACAAAAACCTTCATATGTAATAAATCATGCATCCAATGTTCTGTCAAAATATAACATATGTTCTGTCTACCTAGATATTACCTGGATCGTGGCTACATGGGCATACTCCACTGAAGAGGACCAAACCACACTTGTATTCAAACAAAGCCATCACTGGAAGCAGCACATCAAGAATATGACCGTTGTAAACATCCTTTAGTATGGCTGCGGTGCACACAGGTTGTCCAGGTTGGGGCAGATAAACTGGGACACTCTTGAATGACTTTTCCTGTGCCTTGGATGGGGTGGATTGTAGGCAGAATGTTGCACAACCTCACAGGATCCAAATGTCTACGGACAGTTTCATCGCATTCATTTTCTAAGTGTCTTTTAACAGGAACAAACTACTGCCTTATGTAGACAATAGAATGAAAGACTATGGTCCAATAGAATAGACAGTGTGGTAATATTTCTTCTTTTCACTGTTCAAATCACAATGTTTATAGAAGCATTTGTCTGGTGCCGTATTGTGTTCTCAAATGCATGGTTAGAAACTGGATTTTGATAACGAATTTTGTCTTTTTTATATTTTATCAAACCACCACTGCCGTAATTTAAGAAAAGAAAATTGTTGTTTTTCTCACAGTCTGTGTATATAGCTTAATAATAATGTTAGGTGTCATTCAACATTTTCCACCAGGATGTGAATAAATTTATGTGTGTAAGTTACTGTGTTGGTATAATTTCATAGTATTCATTTGTGCATCACTCAGCTGTTGTTGTTACGGATGTGCTCATATTACAGAAGGTGGTGATGACAAAGGGACGGGCCAGGATAAACAAATGGGTTCATGTTCCAGGATTGGATTTTGTCAGAATTTCAGATGGAGGGCAGGAGCTAATATAGCTATTTGGAAGAGATACATATTTGAAATTGGAAATCCACAAAAACTGTTGTGTTTTTTAAAATATTTTTCTTCCGTATGTGTGGTTGTGGTTTAAACTCCATTCATTTTGGGACTATTACTGAATGTTACAGGTACTTTTATCCTGCTAGACTGAAAAAGATAATGGCACTTGGGCTTGAAAAAACTTTGTCATGGTAACTACTATATCAGCTTATTATTCAATACATGATAGATGGAACCATAATTTTTTGGGGTCACTATTTATTGTGTGTACCTTTTCTTTGTAGTCAGAAATGTTAGGAAATTTGAGGTGTAAAAGGTTGAATTATTAACTTCTATAGCTCATTTTAGATACAAACTAACTACTAAAGTGTTTTTTCTGTTTCTGTTTCATTCTGTTATTTATTTATTACAGCTCTTTTTTTTTGTTTTTTTGTTTGGCAAGATATCATTGTTTATCTTCTATATTTACTTCAGCAATAGATCAGACTTCAAAATTTGTTATGGTGACAGGCCTAGTTCCAGATGCTGTTTACTGTGGATACGAATTAGAGATAATCCAAGACAAAATATCTGCATTTTTGTCAAATTAAGAATCCATTCTACCTTTTTTTGCATCACCTCAAACTTGCACTATGAGCTCTCTACAATGTTGTTATTTGTCACATGTATTTGACTTATTTATTTATTTTTTGCAGCACTCTGTCTGTCTAATGGTTCCCCAAAACTATTGTCACTATTATCAATCGCAATTTTGCTTGCCCCCATTGCTGTCAAACACTAGGATTATACAATGTTATTATGATGCCATCTGAGACCTTGGAATTCTCAGAAACACTGGAAAAGTGGGAGGAGCTCTGTGCACTGTCTAGCCTGTATACCCCCCAGCTCTCCAGCTCTCCATCTCTCCCTTTCTCCCCGTCCCTCTCATTGCACCTGCTCCTGTCAATCAGCGCTTTTCTGTGCCTGAAGCAACTGTCACCCCTAACCATTCTGACGATCAGGCCAGCTGGGAGCAAGGCACTGAAAAAAGAATGTTAGCATGTATTTCCCCCCTAGACTGTGCCTTAAATATCTTCCATGCAATTCACCAGCGTTAATTATAGCTTCCACATGCGAAAGAGACAGACCCCACTCAGTTGAACCAGCCAGTTTGCGCTTCTCTGAACCACACTTAAGATCTCTACTTGGTGTTGTCAAAAACTAAAGGCCTAAAATGTCTAAGATAGAAGAAATTGAGGATTTAAATGAGGAAGATATTGACGAAGATGAGCTCCTTGCTATGCTGTCACCAGAGGAGCTAAAGGAGCTTCAAAGTGAAATGGACGTTATCATTGCTCCTGATGAAAGTGTACCAGTGGGACAAAGGCAAAAAGACCAGACAGAAAAACCACCAACAGGAACATTTGATCACCGCTCGCTTGTTGATTACTTATACTGGGAGAAAGAATCAAAACGCATGCTTGAGGAGGAGAGAGTGCCTGCCACTTTGCTACCAAGTGAGGTAAGACAACATTAATGTACTTTATTATCCAAAAATATAATTAAAATGATAAAATGCTCGGAACGTTTTGTCAGTATTTTTTTCCCTATTGAAAGTGTTCTTTGAGGTGTTAGACCAAAAACCTTTCATTCTGAAGTTCTTTTAAAGCTTGTTTTATAGTGTAATTCAACTCTGACAATTCTGTTTTTGTTGTCAGAAAATTCTAAGGGATGAGGCTGAGAAGAAAGAACAAGAAAAAATAGATGATAATGTGGACATTGTGTATGAAGTGATAGAGGAAGTAATAACAGAAGAGGGTACAAACGGCGATGGCACAGAAGAGATTATTGAAGAGATTATTGAGGAAATTGTTGAAGAAGTTGAAGAAACGCACCCAAAACTCGAAGAGACTGAGAAGCCAGTTATCAAAACAGAGCAAGCAAATACCACAACAGATGTTATAAAAGAAGAGGAAGAGATTGACAGTAAAAAGGTAATTGAAAAGAGCAAAGATGTCATCCAAAGTACAGAAGATACAGAAAAAAAGCCTCCAGAAGAACCAACAATTCAAACTGAGATTTCAAACTCGGAAGACAGTAAACAACAAGCACAAGAAGAGGTCAAAGGTGCAGACTCGCCTTCACCTGCTGATGAAGAGAAGGAATCCACTTACAAACCACCTCCGAAAGAAGAAAAGAAAATCAACAAATTAAAAATTCCACAGCTAGCACTTGGAAATATAAAGATGACTTCAAGACCATCAGGTAATGAGACAAACTTGGACTCCACTCTCGACAAAATCCGCAATAACAACCCATCTGTGACTGAGGTCAACCTGAACAACATTGAAAACATTCCTAAAGAGATGCTTATAGATTACGTCAACGCCCTAAAGAAGAACAAGCATGTGAAAACTTTCAGTATAGCTAACACTGGAGTCGATGAAAACATTGCCTTCCAAATTGCAAATATGTTGAGAGAAAACCGCAGCATCACAACACTCAACATTGAGTCAAATTTCATTACTGGGAAAGGAATTGTAGCTATAATCCGCTGCCTTCAATTCAATGAGACGCTGACAGAATTGCGTTTCCATAACCAAAGACATATGCTGGGTCATCATGCAGAAATGGAGATCTCCCGCTTGCTCAAGGCCAATAACACATTACTGAAGATGGGCTACCACTTTGAACAGCCTGGTCCAAGAATGGTGGTGACAAATATCCTGACGAGGAATCTAGATAGGCAGAGGCAGCTGAGAAAGGAGGAACAGAAACAACAGCAGTTAAAAGAGCAAAAAGATATGCTGCAAATGTATGAAAACAGTCTTAACCTACCACCTGGTCTACTACAAATGCTGGGGTACCCAATAGAGGTGTTACAAGAACATGGGGTGATTCCACCATTGGAGGCTATTACTGAATTAAATAAACAGGCTGAAAATGTGCCCCAAAAGCAGCTTAACCACAACAGCATTCCCAAAGCCAAACAAGAACCAGCACAGAAAAACCCTTTAAAGGATGTCCAACTGAAGAGAACGCCCAAGAAGAGGGATCCCTTTTTAGACATAGACCCCCGAGAGAGGTCAGATAATAAGGCAAGTTTTCAGCTGAAGAAGACCCCCAGAGTGAAAGATACAGGAGGCGAAGCGGCAACAGATGAAAAACCAAACCTGGGAGCTCTTATAAAGACTTTGAAACCAGTCCCACGCAGAAGAGTGCCCCCAAAAGTTGATGTCACTCCAAGAGACATGCTTCTAAACCAGATCAAGCAGAGCAACGTGGCTTACCTCAAATCTGTAAGTAGAATATGGTTTAAAGGTGCATTGTGTAACTTTTCAGATGGGGGAGTCTGCCAGCTGCTTATCCCTGGAATATTCCACCATATGGCATTGAATCTATCTTATATACAGATTATATTTATTGCTCAAAACTTGCATTCTTACTGTGAGCAGGGTTCTCCTCGATCTGACCTGCAACTTGGCCTAATGGTGTTCCCTGTTTGTCTCCATGGAGATAGACAAGTTTATAGCCATACTGTGAAGCATTTCAGGATAAGCAGTAACATCCTCTTTAAGACAAGCAGCTGACACACCCTCCATCATAGCAGTTGCACAACACACCTTTAAATTTTAAAAAGTTATGTAATAAATATGTACTTTTGACTGTGATTCAAATTATGACGCAGCTGTCTTTGCTTCTGCTTGTAGGTGCCACTCCCTAAAGCGCTGGAATCAAGTGAAACAAGTCTCATTTAAGGCTTGATCTGTTAATTATGTATTCACTTTCGATGTGTCAAGCCAGTAAAGCTGTTACTATGTACCCACACACCCAACTTGTTCATCTCTGTCACTCAGCATGTATAGGTATAACACTGCAGGATGTCTTGCTATTTATTTTAAAGGTAGTTTTTTTTTCTTTTCTTTTGTTCAAGGTCGTGCTGGTTCATTCACCTACACAAGATAAGCAGTGTGTTTCTCATTAAGAAAGTATACTAGGGTGCCCCCACAACCTGAACAATAAAGTGGTATAACCAATAGTTTGCTTTTTTGATAAACATTAACAGATAAAGAACTGTACTGTGACTAGAGGCAGTAAGTGATATTTCACTATACGGGAGTTACATTTAAAAAACCTGTGGCACTAATGTCTCAAAAGAATCTATGTAGTTCCCATAGATTCTAGATAGATAAAATGTTTATTTTATACAAATGGGTGTAACAAATGAATAGTTTTGGCAATTACATTACATTACATACTTAGTCATCATTAGTTGACCTTTTGTTTAAATAAGTCACAGTTGTTGGACTCTAAATAGAACAATGTACACAAACGAAATATACTCCAAACCAATTTATTATCATGGGAGCAGACATGTATAATTTCCAGTTCTGGATGAAAAAAATACACATATAAATAAACATTATGCATGTGAATTATACAGTAACATACTTCAATTGCAGTTAATGTGGTGGTGCAAAATTCTGTTGTTACCAAATTGTTTTTAGGGCAGCAGTCTATAATAAAGCTTTTATTTGTTTATAGAATCATATAAAACAATACTGGGGTTTTTGTGGTCAGATTTGGAAATATCTTGCAACCAGTCAGTATACATAGTCAGCATGCATTACTTTGAATAAAGACACAAAGTAATTATGTAATATACAAACCATAAAGCTGCACTTGCCATTCATTTTCATATTGCATAGCTGTGGTCAGTAAGGGCTACACTCGGGCCAGCCTGGACAGTGTGAACACTTAGTGGATGAAATCTTGCCACAATAGAATGTGTCATAAGTTAATTGTAGGTGGCAATATTTTTCTAAAATATGTAGTTAAATGCCAGATTAAATAATGTATGATTGTGAGGTAGCAAAATGAAGAGACCTAAAAATGAATGTGTTTAGTGTCTAGGTAAACATTTTTACCTAACCTGTGGTTTACTTGCTTCTGTTGTTGCATTGCTTCTATAGGAGACAGATAGTTATTAGAGAAATGCTGAACCCCAACTGAAGCACTGCTCATTGCATTTTACATTATTTCCAGAAGAAAATTGTGCAAATTTATCATGAGAAGTAAACTTAGCTTTTAGCTAGGGAGTGCCAACACAAAATATAAAGCAAAAAGAATGTATGAAGGAATATAAACATCAAAATATAATAAGTAACTCTATTTTTGGCAAAACATATATTTTAAACCTAAGCTATGAGAACTACAATCTAATCACTTCATGATATGTCAGTCATTTTGCAGAAATAAAAGCATCCCTTTGTCACGCTCATACAAACAACTACAATACAATATTGGCTGATAACCAGAATTTAACTGGTCAGGAGAGACATGTGAGAATATGCTAAAGTAATTCCATGTTTGGTCTGACACCTCCCCTTTGCCTTATTCCTTGAGTTTTCCCTCAATGAAATCTTGAATCTTGTTCATCCTCTCCTCCTGCTGGTCCAGGAGGTCCATGATGATGCCCATCGGTGTCTTCTTCAGACCCACTCCCTCAATCTTGTTCTCCAGGCGGTTCTTCATGTTACGTAGTCTCAGTGATGCGTGGATTAGAATTACTATAAAAACATAAATCAAAAACCAAAGCGATATATTATAACCTGCTGAAATGTAAAGTGTCGCCAAATCTTTTATTCCATCTGATTTTATCCCCATGTCTGGTGGGCACATAGTGTTGGGATGACATCAAGCAGTAAAAGTAGTTCAGGCTGGATCAACAAGCCATAGCAACGCATCAACACAGTGCCCTGGGGAACCACTGAACCTGTCTCTTTGGCTCCAGCCCTGCCTTCTATTTTTAATGCATTGTATTAGAATTTGCTGTTAAATCTGTAATATCATTGGTCTTTAGATGTTAATGAGTGAGTTAAAGAGTGTATTGTCATTTAACTTAGCAAGTATTGTCAATTAAGAACTTTTATATAAAACTAAACTTTGATGATCAGCTGCTTTAACTATAGTATACTAACAAGTTTAACTTATGCTGTATGTAACTTACACAGCAGAGGAAATGTGATTCCAAAGATGAACACAAGGACTCCGCCAAACAGAGAAAGCACAAAGTAGCTGGTGACCATCACTGCCAGCACAAAAAGAGTGGGGTTCTTCTTTTTGAAGTTTTTGATGAAGGACTTGTTCTCTCCAGCCCAAACTGACCCAGCAAAGACCAGAGCCACCACTGCTCCTCCCAAAAACATGCCCAATGGGTTCAGAAAACTGGGAATAACACAAAAATAAATAACATCTTAGTAAAAGTGTAATTAAAGAAGTCAGGACTGCCATAATTGTTAAAAAATTAAAAAGGTCCAAGGAATATAATAAAAATATACTATGTACTATTGTGAAATAGCAGCACCTGCTGGTTGCCAAAAACACCAACATCCTGGAAAATTTGTGCGTTGAGGCTTAAGCTCTAGGCTATAATTCTCAGGTCATAAACCATGATACAATCTAGAAGCCTTTGAAAACTACACAGTGATTATGGCATGGCACAACAATATATGGGGATATTTAAGATCACTGGTGGTTGGTGAAGTAGCAGTGACACGATTAACTATGTGAATCGCTTAAGAAGGGATAGCTAAAAGATAACAGATATTAATAAACATGTTTAGATCAAAAGACCAAATTACTATCACAATATTGGCCTCATTAAGATGTATACTATCTAAGACAATAGTACACATAGTTGGATCTTTAGGCTATAGGGGCTATAACACGGTAACTGTCAGTGGATTACATTCTGAGCTACAAAAATAGCATGCTCTTATGGGTGTGGATCAAAAGGTATGCAGCCTGTGAACAATGCCCGGCGATGCTCTGCCCAACTTACCCCACGATGAGGAACACCACCACGGCCGCGGCGAAGTAATTGGTCTGGTAGTACATTAAATTACTGATAACTCGGTTGTTCCATTTGGTCAAATCTGAAAACTCGGGTTTGGCAAAGCGATCGGTCCCGGGGAAAAAGTCATCCCACGGTCTGAGAGGCGCAAGCTCCATGTTTCCTGCCATGGCTGTAGCATGTACAAACTCTACACGCACGCTCTGTTACTGCTGCTGCGAAATATTTTGACAGATCAGCTGACAAGCTAGGCTAGCAGTGAGGATGCTAACGTTATCGCGAGATTTGGATCGAGATTGCGTTATTTTTGCGTATTTTCAAAATTTAAGTAATAAAATTAACTAACTTGTAAAAATGCATGATGTGATTAATTGCTTAAAATAACTCCAATATATTTGTTTTGAAAAATAATGTACATTTTAAGTAAAATGACACTGGTACTTTATGCTTGTAATATTTATTAAAAAAAAAAAAAAAAAAAAAAAAGAAAAGAAAAAGAAGCATATAATTTTGTAAAATAAAGAAAAAAATGTAAAAGTGCTGAAAATTACTAGGATTTTATTTTGAGTATGAATTGAAGACTAAATGCAATACCCGGAAACAGTCGCCTATCGAGGACATGGGACCGTGAAAGTATGGCGGATGCCGAGGAGCCGTAAGTGAATTTATAAGAAAAATACAATTTACCGTCACTAATCGCCATCCTAATGTATAAGAAACAAAGCATGCTGATGTTTACCTTACTTGTCACTTGCAGGGAGAAGAAAAGACGGAGAATAGAGGACCTGACTGAGAAGTTAGTGCTGATGCTAAATAAAGGTCTCTGACTGGCAGCAGGTTTGCGTTGCGACTGCTGGGCCAGGAGACATACAAGATAAACCATTCATTTAGCGAAATCTGATGTTATTAGCCCAGTTTTCGATGTATTTAGTTCATTTGCTAATACACTGCTCACTTGCATACAAAGTCCTATTCACCTAGATCTATTAGCTCTATCTGTTTGGCTTGGCTTTGGCTCTGTTGCCCGATAAATAGTGCTTTGCAGATGATGTGTGCATGTTATATCAAACGCATTAGTTATACGATTATAAACTATAATATTGTACTGTAACTAGCTGCTGACCATGGTTTGACATATTTGTAAATATTGAAGTACAACATAATCAGATCTGGCTTAATCATGGTTTGTTATAATCCTGACCTGGGTTTGACCCGATTCAAAATTTTTTCGTGACCAATTCTTGTTTAGACTATTTTGGTCCTGTTTTAATCTTGGTGCTGACCCAATGCATTTTAAACCTGATTTCGAGCTAGTTTAATCATAGCATATACACACAATACCCATGTCCAGTGCAACTAGTGCGAGTATGTAGGGGAATATTTAAATACAAGTTCATTGTATCCTGTTCTGGTTTGCCTCTAGAATGGCTGTTGATGGTGGACACAGTGATGTTTCTTGCGACTGGGATGGGAGGTGGAATCATGTCAAGAAGTTTTTGGAAAGACCTGGCCCATTCAACCATCCAGACTTTGAGCCAAGCACTGAGGTAAATTAAGACATATGACTATTATTTTTTACATCGAGCATCATAGTGACATAATAATGTTTCTAACTTGTTTTGAATTATTTAGTCCCTACAGTTCTTGTTAGAGACATGCAAGATCTTGGTTATTGGTGCCGGAGGACTTGGATGTGAACTTCTAAAAAATCTGGTACTCTTTTTTTAATATGAACTCATAATAACTATATATATATTGCTCAGTGAGCATTTAAAATGATCTTTTTATTATTGTCTTTAGGCACTGTCTGGATTCCGTCTTATTCATGTAGTTGATATGGACACGATTGATGTATCCAACCTCAACAGGCAGTTCCTCTTTAGGTATAAATTTGTTCTATCATTTAGCTTGTTTTGTTATTATTTGTCCATATCGTTATTCTTACAAACGATGCACATTTTAACAGGCCCAAAGATGTAGGTCGACCAAAGGCAGATGTGGCAGCTGAATTTATTAACAACCGTGTTCCTGGATGTGAAGTTGTACCGTATCCTTCAATATCTGTGCTTCTGATATTATCTTTTTTGTCCTTATTTTAACAGTTGAATTTTATTTTCATATGATTTTCCTTAACTATATGTATAGTCATTTCAAAAAGATACAGGATTTTGATGAGTCATTTTACAGACGTAAGTAACATTATAATTAGCTTTCAGCGCTAAATAATTGTACTTGCGGGTAAATTTAAAAAGTTACATTATTTTTTAGAGTTCCATATTATTGTCTGTGGATTGGACTCTGTTATTGCAAGGCGCTGGATGAATGGCATGCTGGTAAGAATCAGCTGTTTTAAACTATGTAAAAATATAAAGTTTTAGAGGGCAGCAGTGCTACTTGGAGGTATAGAGGTTGTGCAAAATTGTTCTTTTGGTGCTCTTCAGTGTAGGGACCAGTCTCAAATACAGAGTTGAAAAATGATGATGAAGGCCAAAGGGCTGAAATGTGTTGGCATCATTTTCACTTTATCTGCCATGTAGTATTAAAGGCTTTTAATTATTTTGTACTTTTTGAGTGCCTACGCTTTTTCAGTTTTGTATGTAAAATGTATCTTTCAGTGCCAAAAAACATGATATTCTCCTCTGTACAGATCTCTCTCTTGAGCTATGACGATGGCGTTCTTGATCCCAGCTCTATTATTCCTCTCATCGATGGAGGGACGGAGGGCTTTAAAGGAAATGCACGAGTTATTTTGCCTGGCATGACTGCGTGTATCGACTGCACACTGGAGCTGTATCCACCACAGGTATTACTGAGAATTCGTAATAAATAACCTAAAGTCCAATTTTTATGATCTGTGCCCTCTTCAGCTGTCAAATATAACCTGACCTGTAATGATTGCCAGTTGGTAGCAAACTTGAAAATATAAATTAAAAAAGAGGGACAAAATCTTATGGCCTGTGAGCTTTGTAAGATTTTGTCCCATCCCTATCTAATAGAAATGTATAATCAGTATTCAATAAAAGAAAACAAATCAAAATTGCCAAATCAAAGTCATCATCTTGCATTCTGATGCAATGACTGAATAACTCAAATAGCATTCATAGTCTGATTTACCAGTTTCCTTGGTTTTAAAAACTATAATTTGTTTTTGATCTTATTGTTCACAGATCAATTTTCCCATGTGTACAATTGCCTCAATGCCAAGGTTACCAGAGCACTGTATTGAATATGCCAGAGTTCTACAGTGGCCTAAAGAAAAACCATTTGGTGGTGAGTTTATTGATTTTACATGTTTAATATGTGAAATGTTTCAGAAGTCTCAATTTCCCAACATTTTTCCAACTCTTCATAGAGACCAGCTTAGATGGAGACAATCCTGAGCATATTCAGTGGGTGTTTGCAAAATCCCTGGAAAGAGCTGCGCAGTTCAACATCACTGGTGTGACATACAGACTAACTCAAGGTGAGGACACAAATAAATATCATAATAATGACCTATAAATGTGCTACATAACTAAAATAAACATCAACATTGACAGGTGTGGTGAAGAGGATCATCCCCGCTGTGGCCTCAACAAATGCTGTTATTGCTGGTAAGATATATTTTTATTCATATCATTTTTCTGCTTATTCTCTTCTAATTATTCTATTTTATTTAAAGCTGCCTGTGCCACAGAAGTTTTTAAAATTGCTTCAAGGTTTGGTTGAAATTTTAATGTAATATTTAACCTTGCAACCTGGTAGGCATATCATTACGACTTTTTCCTTCTTCCACAGTGCATATATTCCTTTAAATAATTACATGGTCTTTAATGATGTGGACGGGCTTTACACATACACCTTTGAAGCAGAGCGAAAGGTGGGTGATAGCTTTTACAATAATTGTGGTTTGATTTTTATGCTTTAATATTTTTCTGATTATCTTGTGTTTTTCTTCTTTTTAGGACAATTGTTCAGCTTGTAGCCAGGTGCCTCAAGATCTCCAGTTCCCTCCATCTGCTAAATTACAAGAAGTTTTGGAGTATTTAACTGAGAATTCCTCTTTGTAAGTACTCAAGTCTTGACCGCAATCTTGCAAGGTTTTGCTTTTAACTAAAGTAAAACACATTTCTATATTTTTCTAGGCAAATGAAGTCACCTGCTATTACCACAACTCTTGAAGGAAAGAATAAGACACTATATTTGCAGGTGATTGTAATTTATTTGTATTTCAGTTGCCCTTTATAATATAGCACAGTCATGGCATGGAAAGGCCATGATAACTGGGATGCATAGTATTCTTCAGGGTTAGGGTTTAAACTTGAATTATGTTTATGATTATTTATAACCATCAAATAACATAGAATTATTGATTGATCACATTACCATCATGATTACAATGTAGTTACACTATATACTTAAAAAAAATGTTATGCTATTTCCATTCCATTATCATGACATTACTGTGCTGTAAAGTGCTACTATTCCTTCCCTTAGTTACCAGAATTCTACCAAATGTTAAATATTGTACTTTTTTTTCTTTTTAGTCTGTTAAGTCGATCGAGGAGCGCACTAGGCCAAACTTGTGCAAGACATTAAAAGGTAAGTGTCTGAAATGGCAAGCGGAAAATCATATTTTTAACTGCAAACTGATGATGATGATGATGATATCTTTTATCTTTCAGAGCTGGGATTGTCTGATGGGCAGGAGCTTGCTGTGGCTGATGTTACTACACCCCAGACTGTTTTATTCAAGCTGAACTTCATTGCTTGATAACTTTATTATTTCTCTTCAAAGCACTGATCTCTCAAAGAAACTTTACCCTGTCTTTAGAGTAGTCTATTTAAAGCAATGATGTAAATAAGGCGTTAAAACTCTTGTGTTGTCTCATACTGGAGAACAGTAATCACTCTGTTTTTCTATTAGTATTTAGTTTGTATTGTGTATTTTAAGCAGATTTTCCTGTCAGTCACATAAGCAGTGATGTGTTCTGTTATAATAAAGCTCTTATTATGGACATATATGCTTTAGACATCACATTTCTGTATTTGCAAATGCAGCTGTGTTGCTTGCCTTTGTATAGTCACAATACAAATATGACTGGATAAAGTGCATTGAAATAAAACTGCTCATGTTAAGTTACACTGTTTTGCTGGTTGCACTTCACAAAAAAGTATAGCACAGTAGATAGATAATATGATGCACACTGGAATTTGTCCACTGCATTTGACCCAAACCCTCATTGCCTGTTTCCATATCTTCAATTAGGCTTGGTCAGAACTACTTAAGATTGAGGATTTTAACGATTTTACATGTTTTCAGTTGAATAAGACGTAAATACCTTTTTTACAGTCTTGTTTGCATATTACTGTTGAAAATCCAATTATTTGGTTATTTACAGATTTCATACGCAGTAAGAGTTAGAAACTGTGCGTGCGTGTGTGTATACAGAATGGAGCATGTGTTCTGTGTCCATGCGTTTTTACAAAGTGATTAAGACACTACACAGCAAATTCAAAAGTGTTAAATTCACAGTGTTGGTGTTGTTTAAGTGAGTAAAGTGAAGAAAATTCAGATATGTTTCAACAGCAGGACTGAACTCAGCGAGCCTCAAGTCCAACCACCTAAGCTCTCACATGGTCAGGTTACTTTACCTTTTTAGGACAATCTGCAGTTAATTTAATTCATAAAAATACTAAATTTATTTGGTCTAATGCTAGTAGTAGTAAGCTAACTAACTTACCTGTGACAGTCAATGTTGCCGTCACTAATGTCCATGAAAATTGGTAAAAAAAAAAAAAAAAAGCCACAAATTGTACTAAATTAAGAGTAACGTTACTTCAAAAATGTTTCTCAAGTCTACGTAAAAGGTAGAAATCCAAAAAAAATGTGTTAAGTAGCTAAGAGTATAAGTATGCGGGGAAACTACTCCTCAAGTAACTTAAGTTAAAAGTAATTGGACGAAACATCTGATTTGTCGTTTAAAGTTAATGCAATTACAAGGATAAAACATGAAATAGTACTCATGTCTGGTATTTTCACAATGGGAAGAAAGTACAATATCTGTAAATAATGACTCACGTAAATGTATGAGGTCATAATACATGAGGTCAGTGTAATGCTACTGACACCTGCCCTACACTCAGTGTATGTAACGCTATGAGTTAGGACATTTATGAGGTATTTATGAGATATTTATGAGCTATTTCACTGTATATTGTACAAATGTCTGACCGTAACATTGTGCTAGCATTAACTGTTACTTAGCACTTAGCCTTTATTTAGAGTGAATAATGTTCCACTGATGATTTTGATACTTGGATAATTTATTTATTTTTTAAGTGCACGCGGGGCACTGTACATTCACATTGCATTCGATTGTCGTATTTAAATGGGAAATTCAAAATCGTAACACTTTGTTGTAAGCCGAAAATCTATTTGCCTCCTGTCCGTGTTTTTGTCGTAGAGCAGCCCTGAAAGCCCCGTGACAAGTGTCCGTGATGCTCTTCACCGGGTTACTGCGCAGCGGCGCGCTGCCTTTAAGCGGGACTGGAGAGGACTCTCAGCGGCTACACTGCAGCAGACTCTCTGAGGGGAGCTGTCGGTATTGCCGGTGTTTCTGCGGGCTGTACATCACGGGCAACGAGGACGCGGTATACGCTCCGTAACCTGGAGTGGACTGGGCTTCAAAGGAAGTGGAATCGTCTCTAAACAAGGACTAAACCCGCATTTGACCAGGTCTAACCCGACACCCGCATACGCCTAAACCAGGTGAGTCCCGCTCTGCCTCTACTCCGTGTGTTCTCGAGACGAGTTCACGATCTCACGTAGCCCTGATCCAGACGCCCTCACACGGCCCTATCTCTGCCTGCACCCGGTACTGATTCCCCATTTCCAAACGAAAATCTAATGGCCGCGACACGGACCCCCGGTCTATACTGAAGTAAATGGCAGGATAGCATTCGTTAGCTTAGCATTCGTTAGCTTAGCTCTTCCGAGTTTTCATGGTGTTTTTCACACTTTGGGGCTGCATTCATTCGCTGTATACACATTTCTTTTAATAGCATATAAACATGCACACTTTTGTGTACTGTGTTGAGGTAGGATATTGTATCAAGTGGAGAATTATTAAAATTATTTGAATCAAAAGTTTAGTAGTATTCTGTAAAAAATAAAATATCTTCAAGTATGATGTCTTACCCAATACAATATCTTAACATGCTATTGACCTTTAGTCAAAAAGAGTAATGATACATTCTTTTTTTTGTATTTTCTTTAGAGTGAGTGTCTTACTGCTGGTTCACATGCATCCCCAACTCTTAAACGCTACAGTGGAAAGATGAAGGCTCAAGCCATTAACCATCTCCTCAGAGACTTGCAGGTATGTCATGAAATGTTTAAATGTAGAACTGAAATGTAACCTCACCAATAATTTCGTAATTGACTAATTGCATTTTATATATGTGCTAAGTAGTTGTAATTTTTGCCTCAATCTCATTCTATTTTCTTGATTAATGGCATTTAGGTGTTTTGTTTCTTGTGGGTCTTGCATTTAAAAATAATCTTTTCTAAGGGGCTTTATTTTTTTCAAATTACCCGTTAAGTTATTTATTTGAATGGTTCCTGTATACAAAAACAAACAGCTCATGCAACAGAATAACCTGCTTAATAGGAACAAAGAAATAATGATATATGCACCATAATATATTTACTACATATTTAGTTTTACATTTTTATGGCTCATTAAATATTGCATAGCCCGTTTTGTAAGGTTGCTACTTGAATATGTTATATTTATTCTATTCTATATTTTATTTTACAGATCAGTATGGGCACATTTCTTGCCGGTTGAGCCTGGACAGCCTTTCTACCTGTGACTGAAGTGGGAAGGACAAAGGTTTTTTATGTCATCGTTGACCTGGCTGAATTTGGTGAACACTTCAAGGCACTTGGTCCTCAGACTCTCACAAACTTTACACCTGTATTCAAAGAACTGTCTACAACATGGACGTTGGATGTGTCAAAAGAAACCCCAAGAGTGAAAGACTGACTCTTGCGGTAAAAAGTTTCTGCAATGTTAATGTTTCATAATGAGCAGGACTGCCTCTATTGTGAACGTTGTCATGTTTATATAATGGAGAGAAGATCTTGTTTCAAACAGTCAGACATGCTCCTCTCATTTGTGGAGATGAGCATGCCTGAATTCCATTCAAAACAAGATGTTGATTCATCCATCAACTCCTTGCATTGAAAAATCAACTTTAAAAAAATTAATGACAATCATTGTGACCAACCGTTGAGGGCACAGAGAATTCCTGCTGTCAGTTGGATTTTGCAAAAATAGTATTGTGTCATATTACTTTTTAAAATTGTATTGCTTGTATGATGTGCATTATTTTAATACAAGTTAAGTTGAAATGGAATTTTGTGGTGATTTTAATTATTTTAAAATTGTATTGTATTATGAACTAGAAGGACCACAGCATTTACATTGTATTTTGTGAAGAAAGAAATTACTATTGAATAGTGTAACATGAAGAACACTCTACACTATTTTTACTTTATAAAGTGTTAACTTTAAAGTGTTAAGATATAGCCATATAGAGTTATTAGTTTTTTACTATACACTAGTGTAAAAAAATCAAATCTTAATCAGTGTCAAATTCACTTTATCACTTTTAGTCATGAGACTTCTACACTTTGGAAAATGTAGTTTCAACTCATTTTATTGTGGACCCCATATGACATGGTAAAAGTTTTAAAATGAACAATATACGAGTTGAATTAACACTCGAATTTGCTGTGTATTGTCACACAATTTTAGTCCTGTCACCGTGGCATTATAGTTTCTTAAGATGCTACATATACTTTCATGAAGTATATGATTTTACGTTGAATAAAATTGTACGGAGACATTAATGTTCCCTGATCTTTTCCTCCACTTGGATAGGAGTGACAGGATGTAAGAGCGCCCTAAGCTTCTTACGCACTAATGAAAGTGGCCACATATTGTCCGAGAGACAGATGGTTTGAATCTTGATTAAGTTTTAATTTTCCTGCCCACTCAAAGCTGACAGCCCTCAGTTCATCAGTCCAAGCAGCGCATGTATCTCAGCATGACCACTGAGCATATCTCCAGGGGAACAAACGTGTGCGTAAAGCTAAAAGGTCGGGTAATTGGTTGGCTGTCATCTCAAGTGGTCGGTAATTAGTGGAGCGGCGGTGAAGCGTCTTTGGTTTATTTTTTACTTTGTTTGCTTTTTTAACCTGTTGACATAGTTCTTAAAATGTAAACCTGAAGGATAACCACATAGAAAACACACAAAAAATACTTTTACGCACAGAGACTCAAGAAGTAAAGCAGTGGAGACAACGGAAAGGATTCTGGTAACGAGGTAAGTGTTGAAACTATGTACCAACTGAATTCAGATTATTCACTTGTTTATTGCACCACCTTCACACATATACTATCCTGTTATACTATCACAGCATCCCGTAGAGATAGTTGATGCGTAATTTTACAAAGCACTTGACGTGACAATTGTCTGTTTCAGCCTTCTTTGTCAAGATGCGCCAGCTGTAATTTCACATGACAAAAAATAACGTGATCACATAAAGTGGACTGACCTAGTCTTGCAGCTCTTTGTTATTTTCATAAATGGAACAGGTGGAGTCTACACAGAATAAGACAAGATTATGCTTCACAATGTACAATAACATGAAAGCAAAATGTAAACATAAAACAATGCATTAAATGTATGTAAAGTAAATATAAGTTTGATACAATATACACTCTATTGCCTTTTATTAACATATTTTTTGTGTAGGTGAAGTAAAAAAAAAAACAACCATTATGTGGCCGTTGCACTGCCTCGCCCTACTGCTCTGTGTGGTGGCTCTGTGTATCCAGATAGTGGACTGTGGCAACCAAAGCTCAAGAGGAGAGACAGGTAACAGCCCAGACCACAGGCCTCCAGGGGCTCATTAAACCCGCTGGTCACCCTCTGAAAGACAATTTAAAGAACAGCTTTCTCCTGCTGCTCTGAGAAGAAATATCATCTTTAGTTTGTACAACCTGGTCATATGTATCGTGTTATAGATATAAAGACATTTTATAATAACTACATTTATGCTTTAATTAATAAAGAACAAATAGTTAATAAGATACTTAGCCTGAATTATTCTATACTACATTATTATATATTGTAGTAACGATAATGAAGGGGTTAGCTAGTAAATACTATGAAGTTAGTATGAGCTTGTCACTAACTGTGTACAATTCTTAATAAACCATTTGTTCATTATGAATTAAGTACATATATAGGTTCATTTTTTATTGAGGTTAAATAAGGTGTAATTACTATAAAGTGGTATAAAGTGGTCTTTTGCAGTTGGCTTACATGAAGTACTGATATATTACCATATACCCCTCCATTAATTTGCATATAATGTATTTGGATTGTGGTTTGATTTTTGGACACTGTTAAATCCTGGACATCTGACCCTGCAGCTGTTCCACAATGAGCACATAAACAGCCGAAAGCACTCAGTGGGTTTGTAATAGCTTTGTCCAATTCAGCCCCAGAGTTCACTGGACAATGATGTGTGGAAACAAACGAACAATTCCCTTGTGTATCATCCAGATTATGTCGACAGATCCAGGACACTCATAATTATAGTTGTGCTTGTTAAATACATTCTAACATCTGGATCTGAAAATGAGCTTGTTTCTGCAGTTGTTGGACCTTTTTGAACCTCCTGGTGGTGCTATAGCGTAACAAATTAACACATCAGGCTATAGAGGTCCTTGTTGTCATCCACTGTGCATTGGGTGAAAGTACAAGCAGGATTTAAACAAAACTCTTTACATCAAACATCACAAAAGTTATTTAAACTCAAAGCAAAATACATTGTGTGACTTCCTGTTTCTCTCCACAGGGTCATCACAGGAAAGGACAGGGACTTGTGAAGTGGTTGCAGCTCATCGATGCTGCAACAAGAACAAGATTGAAGAACGCTCTCAAACAGTCAAGTGCTCTTGCTTCCCAGGACAGGTGGCTGGCACAACAAGGGCCTTACCCTCTTGTGTGGAAGGTAATGTTAGGGGCATACTCCTCTCAAAACCCTCTTATGGTATGAATGCATTAATAACAATCCAAGGGTGCCCTCAGACATACACACACCACATCAAAATTGGGATTAAATAGGTTGCGTTCATGTTTTAAAATTTGATGATGTCATGATCTCAGCTGGTAAATGGTAATAAATGGTCAATTTTTTATAAAGCACTTTTCCACCTTCAAGGCACTCGAAGCACTTTACAACAAGGAACCACTCACCCATTCACACACACATTCATACACCAGTGTACTCAGACATTCGGGACCAGGGGGGTTAACTGTCAGCTGACCCACCAACCTGTGGGTCAGCTGACCATTCAACCAGTGATGTTTTTTATGTCAAGAGCGGGGTTCAAACTGTCAACTTTTCAGGACAGTGGACAAACGCTCAACCAACAAGGGCCTGTGTAACTCTACGGGAGATTTACTTGTCAATATTTGTAAGGGATTGGTTCTACAAACCTGGAAATTAATCTTATGTCTTTTCAATTGGTGAAGTTGAATAATGGCACCAATTTCCGAGGCTATTGTGGAAAAAAATGACTTCACTTTTGTTTTAGAGAAGACACTGAATTTAGTGCGAGTTCTTGTTTCGTGTGGATGGGCCCTGTAATTACAGAGATATTAACCATAAACCAGGTCAACAAATTTGCAATGTGACAGCAAATTCCACCATAGAATTCTACCCTGTCCTCCAGCTCAATTTTAAGCTAAATTGTGATTCATTGCTTCTCTGTTTAATTCAGTTTGAACTCAGATACTGTTCTTCCCCCTATTTAAGCCTTTGTAAGGTTCTGAGTGAGGTGAATTGAACCAATCACAGAGACGTGTGAATACTCAGAAGAAACAGCTGATTAGTTACCTTTTAAGGCAATGTTAAGACACAAAGTACATGAATTATAATACAACTGAAATCATTCTCAGACTATAAGAAATTATATGAATTTTCACCCCTACTTGAACTGTTGGTGATTTTCACATTCACAATGGAATGACATCATATGTCTCAGATGGGGGGCAAGAGCCATTTTTTCATACTGATTACATTGTACTTTGCCATGAAATATGCAGAGGGTAAATTCATAAATGTTGAACCTGATAATTTCTATGATTAGACCCATGAACTCCCTGTATTACAACATATATTAATTAGCAATATTAATGTATCTGTATTAAATAACATTGACTTATAGAATGTTGTGATATCATCTAAAACAAGCAATAGGTCTAAAGGTCAGAGTAAAGTCTGCATCAGGACTAAAACCAGGACACGTATGAAGAACACACCCTTATAGTACTTCTCACACTGGAGTAGTGGTGGGTGGGGTGGCACATGTGATTGAGATTAGGGTTTTCAGCTCTTTTGAGAGGCTCTTTGTCTGGAGTGACCTTGTCTGGTTGTGTGTTGTTCACCAGCGTCCATTGTCCGTCAGAAGTGGTGGTGTAAAATGGAGCCGTGTCTGGAGGGGGAGGAGTGCAGAGTTCTCCCTGACCTCACCGGCTGGTCATGCATCTCCGGGAACAAAGTCAAGACCACCAAGGTGAGCTGTGACTAGTCTGTTAATAACAACTGTATTTATTAATGCATCATGTCCATGTTCAACAGGTGGCCAATGGGTTGCATTCAGGTTTTAGAATTGGATATTATAATTTCCGATGGGGTCTATGTAAAATTCACTGTTTCCAAAAAAAAAGTAATAATAAATAAATAAATAAATAAAAAAATAATAACAAAAAGCACATTTTAGATATCCAGTTAACAGCAATATTGTGTGTTGCAGGAATAATGCCACTCAGTAGAATAAAAAAAAGCCTAGTCTGAAGTTCGGACTCCAAGATCTATGTATATTTATTAATTATAAATATCTGTTCAATGCAACCAAATTTAAAACTTTCCAGATTGGTACCCTCTAACAAGTGTAAACTTAAATTGATCTTAGTGACAAAACATTTAAAGTTTGTTCATATTTGAGTTGTTATTTGGGGTTAGTGGGCTTTACTAATTTTAATACTATATATTTTTTTTTTTCCACTAACAGTGTGATCAAAGAGTGTAATCATTCTTAAATAACATTTTGAAATCATCTTGCTCTTTGGAAACCCTGTTCTAAACAACAGATGCTCACTTTTATCATTGTGCAAATATAAGGCTTCAATGTTGTATCCAGATTATAGTACTTTTTATAGTAAGCTCTTCTTTAATTCAGAGACTCCACAATCAGTTGTACTCGCTCTCTCGGTGGACATCTTATCCTTCGGCTCGGCTCTTGGCACAATGGGCTACTGTTAGAGATACTAATTCTATAATCTCATGGATATGAACACACGTGAGCTTTACAAAACATGATATAATTAAGTCTGACGTCCAATGACAGCGGTACTTTTATCTGTGCGATTCATTTGAGATGTGTTTTACAGTCAAAAGAGACAAAAGTTCAAATTGTCACTCTACGTATTGTGATCAAACATAAGTCAGCATGGAACTGTTAAGTGATTATGTCACAACTCAACTTAAGAGTCCATTGGGATATAGCCTTATTCACTACATTTCAACAGATCCAAGGGGATTTATAATACAATGCTGTTTAAAGATGCAATGTGAAACTTTGCCGGTGGGGGTAATGGAGATGCCATTGCTTTAGCTGGAATATTCCTCAGTAGGCATTAAACATTTATTTCATTATATTTTGTTATAATTGCTCAAAAATAGCTTTAAAAACTTGCATACTTATCTCGAGTGAGGTTGCCTTTCTACAGATCTGACCTGTAACTTGGTCCAGAAACAAGCAGAAGAGTTACACAGTGCAGTTTTAAATGCATTCCCGGTTTCCATCTTGAGATTCTGTTCAGATATCATTTCTTTTTTTTCCACATATACAATCTAGACCTAAAATGTTTAATCAATTTTGTTCTAAAAATAGGTACACCCACAGATATTGATTTGTGTGAAACTGTTTCTTTTGCCAATATGTCTAATTCATGAGGAGGTTCAGACAAGTCGCTCTTTTTGGTTTGTCAAAGGAACTATTGAACTTCTGATGTCACATTTAAATCTGCTGTAGCTGATTTATTACCATCTTAAAAACATGAAAAACTGAACTAATTCATTTTATTTCGACGATTTGCAGTGATCCTAAGTTACTCTTCACTTACCTTATTCATTCCGAGCATCCTAAATATTCCCCATGATGATCTTATAAGCACTTTTGACCACTGTCAGAGGCTAGTACGAAGTTTCATGATCCATGATTGACAATAAAATGCTTCATAGTTAGATACAGACAGCATGCAGCAGACTTATTTTCACCTCAAGAGCTGCTTATACCATATATCTGTACTACATAGAAAAATCAGGTATACCTCCTTTAACACTACCATAAACGCATGAAGTGTACAGGACCGGCCTCAAAATGTTATGATATCTCACTGTATTGCTTGGCAAGAGCTTTATGTATTAACCTAATATTGTTTGCTTCTGTCTCTAGGTGGCCCGATAGCAAGACAGACGAGGTATTTTAACCGTACAAGTCTGTTGAAGCAGTCACCTCTGTTTACATGGGACCCTGAGGACAGCGAACGCCTCACCAGATAGGCCAAAACAATATAGATTTAATTAGATATCTCCTGGCTGAGCTTTCAAACCACGGGAACTTGTTATTTTAATTTCCTTTAGCTCAAGCACACTTCTAGTCTGGATTAATCCCATGGAGTGGACAATCTATTAGCAGCTCAGCACTGATAAAATGACGTGGCTGCTTTTTTTAGACATCAGAAAGGAAATCTCCCCGAAGTCACTGTTGGAGACTTGATATTCTGGGCACATTGTGATGCACTCAATCAAAGTTTGGATGGGTCCACTGCAGACTTTGAGAGATAGAGGTTTTAGTGGATTTTCAGGTGCTTCTATCTGAATCCAGCATGCGACTTTTCTTTCTGCCAATCAAAGCCCTGAGCTCACAAGCACTGAGAAATTTATGAGTATGTCGCATTTGTGGAGAAATACCTGGAGTTTGGTAAAGAGGTCAGATCCCTTTAGACTCTACTTCCCACCATGAGATATTCCTACAAACACAACTGCTTTTCAACTCAGCCGCTTGGACGGGCCGCTACCTGCAAGGCTGTGATGGTGTGCGCTCAAACATGATGCAAAACAAGAGCGTTTGAAATGCTAATCGTGCGGAGAGAGGCGGGTGGAGACGAGACTAGCGGCTTCTTCACTGCTGAGAGTATTTACATCACGCTTTTGTTTGTCTCTCTAAACTGAGCGCTCCTGTGGTGGGGACTCCGCTTATAGTAATGATGGGAAACAGGAGAGATGCTGTGCCTCCCAGCCAATCCTCCGTCGGGACAAACTGTTTGCCATTATTCCCTCTTCATCTGCTTTGGGCTTCTTATGAATCATTTCTTTCTCCCTGATTGCTTTCTTTTATCTCTTCACTCCAGTGTGTTTGGCACCTTTGCTATGAAGATGCGTTTTGCACACTAATACAGTATATATAGTGCAAATGGTCCCAACTGGAGGCATCAGACATGTATCATTGCCACACACTGCAAGAGGAAATCACGGTTGTTGACTTAATGTAATTATGCAATAGGGCTGTTTGTGTATCTGCAAAGCTGCCTCCCGGTTTGAAGCAATTGACTGAAATTGTGTAAACACTCAAATTCTAACAATGATTCATCAAAAAGCATCAAAATGTATTATTCAAATTGTATTCTTGTTACAGGCGAGCTCAAATCAGCTACCCAATTCAAATGACATTGTTGACAGGACTAAGGTGACACTGAAAATTTATGTAAGACACATTTCCTGGCATCATTGGTTTCTCAAGATTTGGGAAGATTGTAAATAGAGGATTCTGATCACATTGTATCATATTTTATGAACTGAATAGAAATGTGTGATGTGGCAGAAACAGTATTAAAAAGAATGGAAAAATAATACAAGTATGATTATTGTAAAAATGTTGTTTACTATAAAGCAAGGGTGTGTTCCATTTTGTCATATTCACCACAAATAAGACCAGAGTAGACCTCCACATAGATACGATCCTCTTTTGCATTTCTTAAAGTAGACAGGTGCTGTCAGTAAATATTAACTTAAACAAATGTTGTATTATTATTACATAAACAACAGCAGGCGTGTGTTTATTGGACATGGCAATCAAACTGTTTCTTTCTGTATATGAAAATACATCACCACAGCCTTGAATAAATCACATTTTTATTATAGTATTACCTTGCAAAAATGGTTTGGTAGATTTTATGTCAGATTCCCTTCCAAATGCAACCAGCCATATCACTGTAATGAGAGAATGAAATGTGGATAAAAGTTTCTGTGGATAAACTGTTAGTCTTTCGGTTCATGAGCAACAACTCATCCACTGTGCTGCTGCTATCCAAATAAACACACAAATAAATCCTGAATTTTACTATACTAGTGGTTTACTAGACTAGACTAGTACTTTTCTTTCAGCATCCCCAAATTTACCAGTTGATGCATACAACCTTCTCCTACCTACAAATCACTGTCTTATAAGGAAACAGAATTGTTGATAATGGTTGGTTAAGAAAGATTTGATCAAACAGTAATTATTATCAAATAGTTTAAATGGTCCATATTACACTATTTTGTGATTTATGTTATAATGTTGTTTGCTCATTAAAAATATACTTGCTGTGTTTTTAAACTCCATTCACCATCACTAGTATCAACTGGATAATTTCAGCCCTAGGATTGTCCATCTCAACTGAACAAAAGGTAGAAGCTGCTAACTTGAACATTACCATTTCATGACATCACAAGGTGGAACAGAGCATTTTGAGCTTTGAAGATGGAGACTAATAATGCAGGATTGCTCAAATGTGTGAATGAAACAAAACACAACTCCAGGTCTGTTTTTGATGAGGTAACAACATGACTTAAAGCTCACAAGGGTTAACTTTGCCTAATGCAGTTCATCATCTCTTCATTATAATTCAAACAGAGTCATTTGAACCTCTTTTAAGGAGCCCCTAGAGAAACTTGGGTTCCACTCTTATAGTTTGGGAACCAGTGTACTTTTTAGTTAACAGCTGTTTGCACATTACTGTCAATCAATGTAAAATCCTTGACAGAAAAAGTTTCAAAATATTGACCTTAAATCTTGACTTGGCAAAAACTCTGGCGACAAGAAACATATGGAGGAACATTTCCCAGAAGAGGAATCCACCGGGGACAGAGCAGAGGATTCAGGCTGATGTATGACTTGCATATTTTCACTCTGTTGTGTTTACTTTTCCACGATGCCATTTTAAAAATTCTATTTGTATTTTGTTTATACCTTATGTCACTTCCCCAGCAAATGCCTGTATTTTGAAACCTCGATCTTGGTTGAAATATTTAAAAATGTTTTCAGGAATAAACTTTCAAATCTATCACATCTCCTTGGGGTGTCTGACACTCCAGAAGCCTGTCTTCATTGTTTTTATACACAGCTTTGTGAGACATTGATTAGTCAAATACCTATTTTGTAAACACCATTGGAAAAGCTCACTTGTGATGTTGCCAGACTTCAAAGATTACAAAGGAGCATGTGGCGCTGTTGTGAATGTTTTTGTCATTTGTACATTCAAGTTAAAGTAAGTGGGCTTGAGTCAAATAAGTTATCTTCCAAGTGGTTAAATTCTTTTGCAAAACAGGAGAAAAACAGATTTATTCAGTGCAGCTCAGAATGGGACGCTCAGACACTGGCGATTTACACAGAGAAATGCCAAGGCTGCATAAGAGATACAAATGAATACATCAGCAGAACAACTGTGGCCGTTTAAAGTTACAAAGCAGTACAGAACAAAATGTGTCCAATTGAAAAATGTGTTTTCCATTAAAATGCTTAAAAGTGGTGGGTCAAGTTCAGTTCAGTTGAAGGTGGAGGGTCACCGGATCAAAATGATCATGCCTAACCAAGGATTTCCCATAGTTTGACATAAAATCACCATGGAGACAAGCAGGTTATGCCTCCAAGTTAAGGTAACAATCAGAGTTCACTCATATAGTAAGAATGAATAAGCAAGTTATACTGAGAAACATTCCAGGCAAAGCAATAACATCTCCATAGGGACAAGCGGGTACCGGACCCCCCTACTTCACAAGAAAAGTTACATTGTGCACTGCTAATTTTGGACATTTTAATGAAAAACTCTTACATAATAAATTACAAAACAATATGTGGAATGGAGTGTGCACTAACATAGTCCTCCCTAATATTCAATATCAATTCATTTAGGTGTGATAAATGCTCTGCTCTCTTCCACCTTATGATGTCATGAAGCAGTAGTTTTAGTTCAGTAGAGCCAGACAACCAGAGCTGGAATTATCCAAATGATTTTGTGTATGGAGTTTACACAGTGAGCACTTCCTGTATTACTAGCCTGATTCATCAGACGGTTTGACTTCATAGAAATGGTCTGACCTCGCAACGTTAGAATTAGTTCCCTCAGTGGTAGGCGGATACTTTTTTTAATATAACCTATCGCTGCTATTTGGTCGTGATGTATGTAATGCGCCGCTATCAGGGCTAACTGGTATATTAAGCTTTTCCCAAATCCCATAGGAAGAAGGGAATAACGTCTTTCCCCTTGATAAAATTCACCATTCTCTTTATTCCTGCTTTAAATCCTCAATCTCGGGAATCGTTGCCAACACAGTATATATGGCTCTTTGCTGATTGGCTGGTGCCTGAACTTGCAATTCTGGGTTTTTTGCAAACCTTCTAGTGTATTCTGATTCCTGACCTAGTCGCTGGAGAGAAATGCAATTTAGCGGAGGCACTAGGTGGTGCCAGCCTGGCTATGATATCACATGACTGCATGACATTTTCATAACAGCTAAATATATGCAGGACAAAGTGTGTTAAACAAGCGTGAATGAAACAAAACAAAACTCTAGTTATGTTTTTGATGAGGAAACAACATTATATAACCCATCAGAAAATAGTGTAATATAGACGCTCTAAATTAGCACATATTCAAAGTTCTCCTTTCTACATGCTTTTTAATTTTACACAACAATAGCAGCCATATTGCAAGCAACTTACAAGTCCCAGTACAGAATGATTCGAATGGATTTTCCTCTAAATTAACCACACAATGAAGCATAAACATGAAGCAGACTTTTATAATAAGCAAAACCTCATCTTATTTAGCAAACCTACACTTTCTCCACTCTTTCTATATGATGTGTGGTACAAAGCATTGGCTCTCCCGTGCTTTTGGTGTCTTCTGGGGCCTGTAGTTCATGTAGTCTTAATAGAAAACAAACTATCCTAGGGCGCATAAAGCATAATGAAAGTGCTGTTCTGTTCTGGCTTTTAACACGTTTTCCCTCATCTACCGCTGACACTTGTAATAAAAATGTAAACACAATTCTTTCTCTCTCTGGCTGCATTGGAACTAAATTAGACTTGTTTTACTGCAGGCCACTATAGGCGACTCTGATGAAATGTGCCCTGGTCATGGC